TTTTCGGCAAGTTAAAAAGGATAACATGCTGGTTTTCTTTTAGGATTTTCCGATGTTCAGGTTGCCTCAAAAAATTTGCCCCACTTTGAATTATAAAAAAGATACATAATAAAGTAGTGGAATAGTAGGCACATTTAATTATATTCCAGTTCCATACAATTCAGTATAAATATAATTATTGGTTTGTTTAATTTTAAAAATATCGAGAAAATGGTCATAAAAAATCTTTGATGATAACGATTTTGATGAATCGATGATAACGATTTCATCTGGGTGTATTCAACAAAATTTGAACCAGAAATAAAATGATTGTTGATGCTTCAACTACTGCAACAATAACAGTTATCACTTATCAGACGAAATGATACTCGTTTCTTCGTTGCATTTCTCATGTGAGTGCCACCATATTCAATCTAATGATCACCATTTTATTTTTGCATTATAAACTGTATTTTGTTGTCTTGCATCATCCGATATCCATGATAATCATTATTATTATCCCGGAATTACAATAGTTAAGAAAATAAGTTTGCTAATTGTTTGAATGCTAACTGTAAGTTTAGTTTGAGTTTAGTTTTCGTTTTGTCTTCGTAATAAAGGCATAGAAATAGGTTGCTTTGATAATTTTTCACAGAGACCAATGATTACTATCGGGAAATTTCTCAGTTGATCAATTGGCTTCAGATCAAATTGCTTAATTTTACTGAGTAATCGAATTAATTTTCCTCTAGTCGTTAAGGCTCTTCCAATTATTACTACGGATATTCCCGGTTCCTGGCGCAAATTTTGTTGCGAAAAATTCTTTACTTTTTTCGTAACAAGTAAAATTCGATTTCCTTTATTGAAAAAAAGCTAGTTTCCTATATTTAGTTAAGAGAAACTGTTTTGTTGAAATTGAATTATCATTGGATGGGTGAGGATCTGTTGATTCTTTTGACATAGCTGAATATCGGGAATACAGATAGTATTTATTAACTAAGAAAATTAACGTGAATTGGACATAATCGTTACTTCAATCCCGAGGAATAGATTGAAATGAATTATTGGAGGATAAAACAGAAACAGAGCCAAGTATGGCTGAATCGTTGGATTAAGTGAAATAGTGGAGATTCCTTTGAAGGGATGGATTCGTATCTCCTCTTTTAGTCAACAGTGCCTCCTTTTCTCAAATCCTTATTAATTTATATTGAGAACAAGTGGCTGTGGATTACAAATCCGATACATTACATAAAAAATTCTGACAATGGAATTCTACGACAAAGAAATGCAATGCTTAACAGAAGTCTAGAAATGCACCATTGGATAGAAGCACGGTTATCAGATTAAACACCTCTGCAAAATGCCCATCAATGTGCATAGTTGTCATCCATCCACTCATTAAGGAATAAAGATTACAAGTAGTTTGGTTATCAAGCGGCAGTCCTTTACCACAGTGTTACAGGAATTGGATAAACGATTCATCACTTAATACGTTGGAAATT